CCCAAGAATTTGACATATCATTTGGTGTGTTTATTACACATATTATCTGTGATTTTTTTTGTTTTCTGCAAATCGAATTTGCATTCCAGATTGGTTCATTCTGCATTAGAAGAAATGATGATAATGATTCATGCTCCTTAACTATATATATTGTATAATTTTCTTTGAATAAATGTTGAATAAATATATAAAATATTTGTGTATTTTTTTCAGCATGGAACGCATTATCGTATTTTACATTAATTTCTATGGAAAAAATTGTTTCACTTAACGAGTGTTTCACATTACAAGTTAGATTCTGGAACGAGTTATCCTCGTTAAGCAAGGTTCCATTGTATAACCTTATTACATTCTTTTCCATAGACTATAATATTCACATTCAGTTTTAGCCGATAGGTAGCCTACTGTAAGTTTAGGAATTGATTTATACAGTGTCTGCACCAAAATCATGAGATTGCTTTATATGCCTGATTGACTCGTGCTGATGTACACAATATTCATTTGTATTTAGAACTGATAAAGAAATTTCTAAATATAAAATTTTAAAAAATAACTACGACCGCCGACCTTGTATCGCGTCACGACGCCACAAGACGCGCCTGCGGTCGTACCTAGAATCTGTTTGCCATACGACCGCCGGCGTTCGAAGCTAACTGAATAGATGTCCACGAGAGGCCAGCACTAAGCATGCAGAAAACGTCGTAGGACACCAGGAAAATTTAACCTTGATTAAAATACATTGTTTACGTCTACCGGCGGTCGTATGGCGCTGTACGGGAATTTCCATTACGACGGTGCGCGCGTCCCTTGGCGTTATACGTGTTAAACAAAATGAGCATAGACACTGATAACAGTAATATAAGTAAATTTAATAGTGTGAAAGATATAGTTAAGAAAGAAATGAATTATTTCTTAGAGAAAAAATACAAGGAACATATCTTAAGGTTTTCAATTCTCTAATGACAGTACATTCAACTAGTATTGATTCTGAGAGAGCTTTTTCTAATGCAGCTGCCATTTGCAAGAAAATTAAGTCTAGATAAGATAACGCGAGCCTAAACGTATTATGTTTTTTAATAGCCTCCTTTCAAAGTAAAGAAAAACATAATTAATAATCAGCATTATTTCAATGTCTGTTATGTTATAATAATTGCTATTACAAGAATGTTGTTTATCTAAACTGATAGAAAACTTGAAATTAAATGGTTGTTCTATGATTCTGTCAGTAATTCAGTTTTGTTTTAAATCATTTGTTAAAACAAATTTACCAGTAAATTATAGATAAACTGGTAATTCCGAATATAATTACCGAATTACCGGTAATGTAATACACGATAAATTTGCAATTACTAGTATCAATGCATTGGATTTCGGGGTGTTTATTATATTCATCTGTTCAATTTGTCCTGACCATAGAATCGACGTACTAATGTGATGAAGATCTTTAAAAAGGTTGAAAATGTCCATTAATTAAGTTCATTATATGTATTTGATGGTTTCAAAGATGTGTAAATGTTTTGTTGAAATGGTTAATTAATATAGCACGTGGTTGCTTCCTGTAGACACACATGTTGCACAGCAATTTCTCATGCTGGTTATGACATTGTTTATCAGCCCTGTCAAGAGCAAAGTCCATTCATGAACAAGAGCATCTTGACACTCCTAGACTATTCTTGGAAGCTAATTATATGCAACTCATCTCACTAGAGCCTCTTGCATGTGTTCTTTGAAACTTAGATCTGGAGATCTTGCTGACCATTCCATGTTATGAATGTCTTCATTGTCAAGAGAGTTACTGATGAGCACAACCCTATAAAGTGCAGACATTTTCATTCCCAAAATAAAAATTTGCACTCACAGCACCTATGAAAACTCTCATATAGGGTTCAAAAATTTTGATGTAATGATACCCTCTTGCAAAAATGTGGAGCTTAGTGCAGCTTTTAAATATAATCCCACCAGCTGCAAACTGGTCTCTTTCCACAATTTTTATGGACTGTATCAGATTCTAATCTGATGATAATTGTTCTGTAGACTGTATCTGGATTTGTCAGCAAACAGAACATTGCCCCATTCATTCAAAGTTTAATGTAAATGTTTTCAATACCATTTTTAAATGGGTTCTGTGCACAGAGATTAATGGAATGCAACATATTGAGCATCTAGCAAGACACTACTTGCCTGAACCATTCTATAGACAGTGTCATGAAACTAGCACTAGTGACTGTAGATAGCTGTGCAGAGAGCTGACTACCAGACATTCTTCTGTTATGGTGTGCTGGTAACATCAAATAGTGATCTTGATGAGGCATGGTTTAGATTTCCATCTCCTGGTTGACATACAACATCTCTTATTCTTTTGAAATCTGGTCAAAGTCAGTATATGAAGTTCTTCAGAACATTCAGTCTTGGATACATCTGCCTGCAACTTGTCTGCTTCTAGCTTTCCAATAATTCCTCCTTTCATGAAATTGTCTATGCAACATCTTTGTGGCATTATCATTTTTAGTATCATACAGTAAATCAGTAACAAACTATCCTCAATGGTTAAACCATGACAAAAACAATGCCATGCTACTGTCGTATTTAAGGAGTCGGTATATTTTGCATAAACTTGTACATTATAATGGAACCTTTGACTACCATCCCGAGTATTTTTATTCTCTGGAAACATTTACATAAATTTTCCACCTGTTTATACAAAGCTACAGAAACAGTCAGCTGTTTTTATTTATGTATTCTGCTTAATATGCCATTACAATTACATGAATTGCCTAGTTTCTTAAAGACAGATGCTGAAATACACACCTATTTCAGTATATGCAGAAGCCAAATTAGCATTTTAAAAAGTAATTAGAACTAGACAGATTCTGAAACAAATGTCTGTTACAGGATGGGCTAGCACTTAAGGAATGGCTAAGCACTTTCTGAAATGACAAATTTCAAAACTAGAATTGTATGATCATTTTATTACTTATATATGTTTATATGTATATGTTACTGTGAATGACCGATATCTGGTGAATGTCAACATCTCCAATGAATGTCAGCATTCACACAGTCGTTTCGTGTATGCACGAAATATTTGCTAAATATCATTATTTCTCACTTACACTGGCAAATGTCAACATTCAGCATGCACTGATGGTGAATGTTGAATAAAAATATTTTTATTACATTAAGACAAAAATGCAACATTTTAATATGTCAAAATAGGAGAAAGCTTAAGTAACAGCACATTTAAATAAACAGTTGAACCTAAAACGGACAACACATTCTTAATCATTAAAGAAAATAATACAATAATAAACTTACACATAAATTATGTGATTAACATTATACAATCTTATTTATTGCAACAACTTAAACTGTTATGGCACTTTGAATTGCACAAGAGTTCCTTGCTTTTACAACTGCATTTATTTGTGGAACAGTTTTTTTTTTTTTTGCAATCACAGTGTGTATAGCCTTGCCCTCCACTTTTCGAATTAGCTGCAGCTGCTTCTCAGCGATATTCCTTGAAAAGAAATCTCATCTATGGAAAGTAACTTTTCTTTACAAATTACAAACTGATTACGTTATTATGTGATTATGAACTGATCTGTTAATGGTCTCTTTTATTCAGATATTGCCGATGCCTTACTGACGGACCCCTCTCATCCTCCACCACTTGACCTGACAAACCGATCCCCACCTCACGGGATCAAAAGACTTTGTCCTACCTCCAGCTACCCACAAAGGATTTGCAAAGCTTATCTGTGTTTGTCGACATACACCGGTGATTGTTCGAATGTATAATAATATAGCCAAATATTTGGACTTTCACAGACATATTTTGTACGTGTCAACATTCACTGGAGAATATCAACATTCTCTAATTTTGGTCTTTCACAGTAACATATATATATATATATATATATTTTTTTTTTAAATTCTTTTCACCCTGTGGGCACTAAAAGGGTCTCATATAGCAAGCCCATTATGGGTTTGGCCAGGCCTAAAATGGAACAAATGGGTAGTGAGGAATGGGACCAGACATCTCCAAACAAACCAACCCCAAAAATTCCTAAGGATTTAATCTATCTGAATTCGATGCTGGGTCCCCCAGAGTGGTAGGCTGCCACCTTGACTGCTTGACCATCCAACCAATGTTTATATATAATAACTATACAATTCTAGTTATTATGCTTGAAAACAAATTTACTACCCGAGCAAAAGAATCTTTGAAATCATATTTAATTTATTTTTGAGTTGAAGAAATTGAATTACAATATATGATGAAAAATTCCAAAAAGTAATTTCTTTTATTTTCTCTATCAATCATTTTAAGCAATGAGAAATTCAGGTTAAATAACTTATATCTAAGAATTTATTCATGTAACAAAACTTGAAATGTATCATACTTTTAATTTAAAACTAGAATTTACATTTGATTAAGAAGTTAAATATTAATAAATTGTTATTAATATGTTGAGAACTTTATATACTAATATTAACAAAAAAGCCAGATGACAATTATATTTTAAAAATTCACAAAAATAATTGAAGAAATGCAAAAAATCTTCATTTTTTTGTCCATGTCACACATCAGGAATAATATAATCTTATGGCAGAATCAACCTTTTATTGTAGACTGTAGACTCTGTTTCTTCAATTATTTTTTGAATTTTTAAATATTTATACACACATATTATATATATTAAAAATTAAATATTTCTTAGAAAAATATTAATCTAAATATCCCATTGAAATAATTCTGCAAAAAATAAAATAAATTATTGCAACTGATAAACATTAAAAATACAACATATTTAGATTTTTCAGTTTACTTATTTTGACTATAAACAGATTATCAAGAAAACTTATCACTAAAAATATATTTTTATTAAGTGTTTTGAAAAAGTTTTATAAAAACAAATTATCTTAATAAAAAGTGATAGTTAAAATACAGAGAAAAGTAAGAAATGAAAACAATATAAAGTAATTTTAGACAAATATACCTCCAGTATCACATTCTTTATTAGAAGCAGGAAAACAAGTTGTTATTGCAGCATGAAAAATATTACGATTACCATCACAACGTTCATTTAAAATGGACTGTAATGTATTTTGTGCCGAGAGAGACCCTAAATATTAAAAATAATACAGATAAAAATTATAATTCAAAAATGTATTTCAAATTATTTAACATGCACTTAAAGTGTAATTCTTATTCATAAATATAAAATACTTAAAATAATTAAGTATAAAATTCTCATGCCCTAAAATTAAAAAACTCAATATTTCAATTTAACACAAGACTTTCAAATTTTATTTTAAAATATGAAAAGTATTATGGCACTATTTAATTTATTTTAAGTATAAGTTTTAATATAGAAATTCAAAAAATAGTTTTCCTGACTCTTTTTGAATTATAATTAATTAATGATCAAATATAGACAGTAATTTAGTTTTGCAAACATTATTAACTGAATTGTTGTTCAGTAACACTTTTGTTTATTTCCCTAGCATGAAACAAATTTCTTCCAGGATCCTTCAAAGATTGAAAATTCAAAATCAAAAGTTTTTGAGAATGGATACTTGCTTATCATAACTGAAACAGGAAATCCCCATTAATTCAAAATCCAAGGAAAAAATAATCACGACTTTAAATTATCAAGTTTCAAATTATCCGAGATTTACATATTTCTGTACAATATGCCAAATACCATGTAACTAATATAATTTATTAAGAAAATGAAATATGGCTATGTATACAAAATGCTACTTTTGTTAAATAATATATAGGTTGCTTAAAAAGTTCTATACGTCTTCTATTGGTCATAGGAAAATGAGTCTTTCACCAATCAAAACAGCATGAAAAATAAGCAAAGTCTGAATCATGTTCCTATTCTAATGTATTCCCAGCAAGCAGTGTGATAATGCCAGAAAATAGCAGAATAATGAAAATCAAATATTATATCCCCAGCCAGGACAAACAGCACAGTTAAAAATTAACAAGATTTTGAACTATCCAAGTTCAAATTAACAAGGATTTCCTATAGTATGTTGTGATCTTCTTAAAAATGAGAAAGGTCAAATAGATAAGTATTAATATGAGTATACAAAATCATGGCTCAAATATAATGGTTTTATATTTGAGCCATGATTTTGGATGAAGCAAAGATAAAGTCAAATGGTATATTGGAAATATTTGAAGGACATTAACAGACGATGTCCATTTAAGTACACTGGAAAGAAACATTCTGAATACTAAAATACTTAGAGAATGTATTCTTATAGATGTTAATAATAGATTCATCTTCAAAAATTCTCAAAAACATCTTTAAAAATTCACATAAATAATTGAACAAGTACTATATTTCCAATTAAAGGGCTAATATTAAAAGTATAAACAGAAAAGTTTATGAAAGAGTTCAGACACACAAATTTTGTTGTTAAGAGTGGAAGGTCCAATTGTTTATAAAAAAAATAGATACAATATCATATTCAGCTGTATGAAAAGCTCAGATGCCTTTTTTTTTTAAAACTTTTCATATACATGATACATTTGACTATAAACCCTTGTCAAAGGTTGAACAACATAAATATATGTTCATTTATTATTACAGTAGAGCACTGTTTATCTGAAAGTCAATTATCCAAAACATCAATTATCCAAAAGAATTCCAGTCGGCAAATTTAAATTTTTGCCAGTGCTGTAGCGCTGCAATCTTTGGCTATGTCTTGGGCCACTCAAATATTTTACATTTTTGATACTAAATTAACTTCTGAAGTATAATTGTTTATTGTTTTTATATTTTTCAATATATTTATTTTGTTTGTACAAAATAAAAAAAATAATTTTTAACAATACAATAGTCTTCGTTAGGCTTAACATCGATGAAACTTCAACGTGAAGTGACACGCAACGGAGAAAAATTTCAACATGGGATAGGTTAATATATTTTTTCGTACATAATCGGTTATCTGAAATATCGATTTTCTGCACTACCCCAGTCCACAATTGATTCAGATAAACGACGCTCTACTGTATTTTAAACATATTTCCTCATATTTCCAACAAGCACAGACCTTTTGTTAGATAATATAATGCCTAGCTCCAACTGCTGACAAGATTTTAAATAAAATATTTTAACTTTTTCAATTTTTATCAAATTTTTTTGTAACAAATAGTTTCCCATCACTTTTTTTGCCACAGTTATCATCATCATTATTATAATTAAATAATTTAATGTTTAGTTTTTTTTAATATATAAATATAAATAAGCAAAAACATAATTATTGTGGTTTAATGTATTTTTTTTATAGTTCACTAATTTGCATATTTATCAGGATGGCATATACACAAAACAAAAATTGAAATTCTGTTGCACACATTATCATAAATCTTTGTCAGGTAGTAAAAAACAATCAATAGATTAAAAAGAAACCATTACTAAATCAGATTCAAGCATGGATTTTTCAAATGATGCAATTATAAAAAAAAAATTTGTTTTTGTTTACATTAAGTTGAAATTTTCTATAATCAAACTTCTATCAACGAATCCTTACTTAAAATATATAAGGTGTCCCAGAAGTCTTTCCCTGGTTACAAACACACAGAAGGCAGAAAATATGACACACAGACACACATCTTTTATCTTGAATTACAGGTAACATATTCAAGTTTTTGTGTGTACATACATACTCACTGTTATTTTGTTTGTTACAAAACAATCACAGCCAATACCTATCTTGATATGTTGCAGTTATTTGTTGTGCTACAGATTCAGGACATTCAGGACAATTTTCCAACAAGATGGTGTGCTACCTCATTGGGGGTTAGATGTTCCTGCCTATTTGGATACAGCATTTCCAAAAAAATGGATTGCGCGCGGTAATCCCATCAACTGGCCTCCGCGATCACTGGACATAACACCACTGGATGTCTTCCTCTGGAGTTATGTCAAGGACCAGGTTTACAAAACACCACTGAACAACATCGCAGCATTACCAATGTCATAACATCCATCCCTCACGATATGTTGACCAACACATGGGTAGAATTGGAATATCACCTGGATATTCTTTGAGCAATGAAAGGAGCACTCGTCAAAATTTATTAACGAGTACATGTATGTACACACAAAAACTTGAATATGTTACCTGTAATTCAAGATAAAAGATATGTGTCTGTGTGTCATATTTTCTGCCTTCTTGCATGTTTGTAATCAGGAAAAGTCTTCTGGGACACCCTGTATATCAAATTAACCCCTTAACGACCACCTGTTATTAATTATGATGTAATTAAGCATAAAAAACACATAAAAAAATACTTAAAACTGAAAAAAAAAAACAAAAGAAACGCATTTATTTTGAAGAAAAAGCTTTGAAGTTTAAGTTCCTTTGTCTCGCCTTTCTGCAAAATTTAACACCGATGAGTCATTGTTTACACAGCTGAATGACCTTGAGAATAGCTGGAGTCGGATTTCCTGGGGCATTCTCATAGACGTCTCGGGAGGACAAGGATTTAAAGTAGGGTGAATATGAGCGACGCCTATATTTTTAAATATTTTTAAAAAGTTAAGATTTTAATTGTGATTTCCGACCCCACCTAATCAATTAAATTTATATATAATAAAATCGATTAATTAAAAAAATTAAAAAGCTATCGGAGGTCGTTTTTGACATCAGAAAATTAAATTAAATGGAAAAAATGACCTGTCATCAACTAATAATAAAAACTATAAAATAATTTATTTTCAAACATGTGAGATTTTAAAAAAGGTAAAAATCATTCCACAGATTTATAGTACAGAAAATATGTCAGTCCCAAATGTGCTAATAATGTGTAGGAAAATTCTCTTTTTGATGATATATGATATAACTTACATTGCAATTTTTTAAAATGAAGTGAGGCTGCATATAACAACAAAACAAAAAAAACAAAACAAAACAAACAAAACAAAACATTTTTATATTAAAAATTTAGTTATATAAATTTGTTCATTTTATGCATGTAAAATTTAAATGATTTGTATCTAAATCTATGCTAACAAGAAAATATTATTTCAGTTATATATAGTACAAAACAAATAATTATTTTTAATAAAATAATAGTACAGCAGAACCTCACTTAACAAGCAAAGCAAATTGTAAAAAAATGACTCGCTTAACAAGCGATGTTTTGCATAATGTGCGACAAGAAGAGGGAAGTCCCGAATTGTGTGCATGCTCCATCAGTCTGTGTTTAGCACTCGTTCCGCTAGCATCTTAGTGTTGCTTGTGATCACACATTTTTCCAAACTTGTGTTCAGATATATTATAAACATCAACAACCATGACTTGTTATATAATAAACATGCCAAACAATATGCCAAATTCTTGGATTATATAAAGGCTATAATTAAATATTAGAAATTACCGTATTGCAATTTTTTTTTGTTTTTTGCAAATTAAATTTGTATTCCAGGTTAGTTCATTCCACACTAGAAGAAAAGATGAAGATGATTCACTCTCCTCAACAATGTATATTGTATAATTTTCTTTGAATAAACATTATACATAAAATATTTGAGTATTTTTTTCGCATGGAACGCATTATTGTATTTTACATTAATTTATATGGGAAAAATTGTTTTGCTTTACGAGTAACATTCTGGAACAAATTATGCTCGTTAAGCGAAGTTCCACTGTATTTAAACATATAAAACACATTATCAACTATATTAAAAACTAAAAATTCATCAAAATTTACCAGAATCTCTCTCTAAAGATGTTAATGTTTGTCTTATTGCTTCTAATTCACATTTTAAAATAGGAGGCAGAAGAGTTTGATGCTACAATTAAATGAAAAAGTTTAAATATCATGAAAATTATAAGATGATCAAACTTTCTTAAAAATTATAATACTATCTTGACATATAAATTCTATTTTTAGTACATATAGAATATAATAAACAACAAAACTAGCAATAAATTTACAATGAAATCATCATTCTTTACTCTATTAATAAATATGATAAAAATAGCCAATTACTATATAATATTTAAACAAATACAATTATTAAAAAATGAATCTGGATTCACACACACAATTTTCTTCTACAAGATCAGATGCCTAAGGCAACAATTTTCTGCTGATTTATCATCTATAATTATTCTGTATGTAATAGCTATTCCTCAAATTTGACAATTCTGAAATATTCTGAATAATGTGTCTTCGCTGTACATGCAAAATTTCAATGTCATACATTGTTTAGTTTAAAGAGCAATGTCCTTGACTAGGCTCCCATAGGGAACCCTTTAAACTTTACAATAGCTTGGGCTAATGTAAATCAAATTCAGCTGGAAATAAATTATTGGAGTGCTGAGACATTTCTCAGAAGGAACAGAAAAGAAAATCATATTTCTGTATTTTCCAGGTAGAAAATAGAGCCATGAAAGTAATTAAATTGTTGAAGGTCACAATGTCCAAGTTATCTTATGGAGATAAATGTCCAAGGTGATTGCAAGTTGCAGACCATATCATTACATCATGCATAGCTAAGAAAATCCATGATATCATGCATATCTCATGTGGCAATTGTGAAGGACCACCATGACAGCATTTCTGATGATGTCAGGTCATCAAAAATTACATCAGAGTGGAAAATTGCCACTTTAGGCATGCAATCGTGTGACAATAAAGAAAAGCCATATGCAATCACATGCATAAGAGTGATTCTCTGCAGTGGTTCCTGAGTGTCTGTGATAAACAGAAAAAAATGTTTTGAACCAAATTTTTACACAGATGGATAACACAAACCATGAAAATATATTTTTTTTAATACTCTTTCTGCCCTGTAGGCACTAAGAGGGCCTCTTATAGTAGGCCCATTATGGATTCGGCCAGGCCCACAATGGAGCAACCGGGTGGTGAGGGATGGGGCATGACATATCCGAACGGACCAACCCCCAAAAAATTCCTGGGGATTCCTTAATCCGTCCGGATTCAATCCTGGGTCCCCCATAGCAATAGGCTGCCACCTTGACCGCTCGGCCATCCGGCCGTCACTATGAGGATATCATAGAAACACAGCTAAGTAAATCAGTTTGGTGAAAAATGCCTGCAAAAAACTAGTAAGCATGGAAAATCACTACTACATGACAACATAGACCCGATTCAAGATTTTCATATTTAACTTTCAGTGTAAACTGTTATTATAAATCTTTATATCCAACAGTATTCCTTTCATTTTCTGGTGTTTAAGTGTCTAGTAGATGAAATGACAATATTTTATTAATCTGGCATGTCAGATTAATAAAATATTGTCATCTCATCTACTGCTGGATATTAGTATTTATAATAGGAGCTTACATTGAAAGTAAAATATAAAAAGCTACTACTACATATTATCATGAGTTAACACTTTTTTGTTCATGTAAGGTTACCAACGTAAAGGGAGAACAATTTATCTCGCGTCAGAATGAGCCTAAGGGAAACCGCATATGTGGGCAATGGCGATGGAGGTAAATGAAAAACAAGTGTTTTACAAAAGAAAACCTGTTTATTTGTTCGAATTCATGCTTACATGGATATTGGACAATTCCAAAATCTCGGTGCTCCTGTAAAACGGCGAGAGTTCGGGTGATTGGTCGCAGCCCGGGCAGACAAGAAGGATCACTGGACGATACAGATGTTTGGTGTTAAGCTGTGGCGTCCTAAGTGATCAGCGGTTGCACAACACAATAGCCAAAGTACAACTGTATGCTTAATCCAGAGGAGACCCTCTTTCAACCTTGAAGTTCTGATTTTTATAGTTTTTTCCCCACTGTTCGCATTTCGGATTGGTCCCTCGTCCCATTCCTTGCTTCCCGATTGGTCTCTCCTTTGTCTCCAGGTGCAAGACAAAAGTTTTTTGGGTCGCGGGAAAGATCCGATTTGAGGTGTCCATCTGATACCTCTTTGTCGACTCTGCTCGGTGACTGTTTATAAAACAATAACACCTGCACTCATAACTCAGACCATTGTTTACCATTTTTTTGACGTCTAAGAATTTAACGATCATTTTCACCTTTCATCTATCAAAAATTCCCATTTTTTTTGTTTGAAAACGTTTATCTCAACCAACATTTTATAGACACGTGAGTCAAAGATCTACCTGTTTAAGAGCGCTCGTGTTAGAGTTTGTCTTCCGCTAAGACCTTGACAGATAGTTTGACACATACTCGAACCGTTCCAAGTCTCGTTGTTTACATTTTGTGTCGCGCAAGAATTTCACTGTTTACTTGAGTTCGAACCTCGTCTGGGAACTCACATTCATTATTTGAATCACAAGCAGACTACATTTGTTCCGTTTTTCATTCCATGTAATTTTGTTTGCCAAACTACAAACTCTTGACTATGTTTCGCTTCCATCCAACTTTATGTTAACCTATTCAATATTGAAATTTTTATTTGTTGCCTGTAACGCCATGTTGAATTTTTGTTGATGTTAAGCCAAATTATTTTTAAAATAATAATCATGTTTACTGTATCGTTAAAAATTATTTTTTTATGTTTCACAAACAAAATATATATATTGAATAATATAAAAACAAAAAAAAAAATTATATTTTAAAAGTTCATTTTAATATAAAAATCGTGACACATAGCAACATCTAGTATCAAAAACATTCTGATGTAAACACGAATATATTCGGGATTGCCCACGCAGGTCAATGAGGTCAACACATATATTTTCGGGAACAACGTAGGACAGGTTAATAATCAACTGAATATAAATAGTGCCAAACTAATTGAAAAACAAAAATTCAGAGAAACTATTTAACATTCAAAACTTTTCCATTATTTGAATAAAGTCCATTGGATATATTTGCCAATCTAAATACAGATGAATAAATACAACAACCTAATGTAAATCAAGTGACTAACAATTACTGTAAATGGAAATAATATTTGTCTTCTATCATCAGTGTAAATTAGATCATTTTCAGTACATGAAACTTAGATTAAACTTTATTTCTATCTAAGATTTCTTATGTAAAATACTTCACTTTATTTCAAACACTTTAAAAATATTAAAATTAATTTTTAAAATAATAAATTATACTACCTCCAATGCAAGAACTACTATTGCAACTTGGTTTTTTTGATTAGCTGGAACATCTTTAAGAGAGTGGACACCTAATCCAATTGCTCGTGCTGGTGGTAAATCTAACCAAATTGGATCTTTGATACTATCAGTACAATCTTTTGCTAAAGGATATATGGCACTATTCCCATCACGAAGCATTGCTATTGTTTCATTCTGAAACAGAAGTTAAAAATTGATATAATAATTGTATAAATTTAAATTATTTGTAATAATTATATGTAAAGTGACTAACAAATTATTATTGAAAAGAAAAACAGTATAAATAATTATAAAATAAATATATATATTTTAAATTTAATATTTATTAATATTTATAACTAGTTATATAGTTTTACTATTTGAACTGTTTATTTTGAAAGTGGTGCAAGTCCATTTTCTACAGTCTAAGCACTTGGGCTGTCCATAAATTACATGTGCATTTTTCTTGAAATTTTTACTTCCCCCTCTTGTCCCAGTTTGTCCAACTTTTTGTAACCCCTTTCCCTCTATGGATGTCCAACATAACTGTGAAATTCGAAGNTATATGGACCGTTTATTTTGAAAGTGGTGTAAGTCCATTTTTGGAAAAAATTGAGAAAACACATAATATACATACAATTTAGTGTGAACTTTTTATTTATAAACAATTCACACTTAACATTTTAAAATAACCATAAGCTTTGATCAATTGAAAATTTATCGGCAAATGACATTGCATAACCATTGATTTTGAAAGTGGTGTAAGTCCATTTTCTACAGTCTAAGCACTTGGGCTGTCCATAAATTACCTATGCATTTTTCTTGAAATTGTTACTCCCCCCTCTTGTCTCAGTTTGTCTAAGTTTTTGTAACCTCTTTCCCTATATGGATGTCCAACATAACTCTATCCCTGTTAAAACCTTCATCATTTATGAATGATAGATACCATAAGTAGAAATGAAACATACAAGAAACTTTGAAATAAATATAATAAAATGCATACTGTATAAAATTTAATGCAGGGGTGTCCAACCTTTCTTTTACTCTGGGCCACATTGGAAGCATGGAATTTTGGCCACAAGTATAGATAATATAATATTTGTGACCCAATCCTTAAATATACAGGTATATTTAAGGATTAACATGTCTAGATTTTAGTAATAAGAGTTAAAACTTTATCACAAAAAAAATATTTTAAAAAATTACTTCTACAGACACTTTTAATTTCTACTTAGAAATAAATTTATCTATTTATTATAAAGAAGACAAACAAAAATTTATTTGAAAAACAAAAATACTTGTTTTATTTGGGACTTTAATTAATAAAAAACAACAAAACACCATTTTAAAGTGAATTTTTATTCAAATAATATATTTATATATAATATGTATCCCAGAAAGTAGCCAATGCGCCAAATGATAATTTTTATGCCAAACTAAAAAAAGTAGCCAAATCTTGCAATGCTGGAAGGAATACTAAATAAAGCTGGAGTTGGGACTCAAAGGATTAACCCCGTCCCTTCCTTTTCAGTGTGGACATCATTTAAAGACAGTCCCTTACAACAGAGAAGTAAAACTATAAATATTATCAACAAATGTACAATTTGATGGAATGGAAAAAAATCCATGTAATGAATCTAAATGAAAATTAGTGTCTAACGGTAAGCTCATAATAATAATAAACTTATTATAAAATAGTTTAACAATAAGTAAATTGTGAGAATCAAGGGCATAGAATTTTGATCTATGTCACTTACTGACTCGCAATCGCAAGATTGCTCAGTAAAACTTTTTCTAGGAGAGCTTTTTATATAATGTTAAAAAAGAAAGATCTGGACGGTAAAGTCTAGATCACATCAGTATTCCTTGACACCAGTTAATCAATTATTTTATATGCAGATTAACATGTGTTATCCCTAAACTCGTGAATATCTAACATTAATATTTAAGAAGCCATATTTATATAACAAATCAGAATATTTAATGGATCAAAAATATAAAATTATACAAAAGAATAAATCTAAACCTAATCTTAATTCTAATTCTTAACCTAAGTTTATTCCTAAACCTAACACATGAGAGAGAGTTCACAACAATCTATCAGAGTTCATATTACTAACTTCTTTAGGTCTTTCATATCTTTTCCTATATCTATTTGAGGGTCTTCTTCCTTTCTTGATTATTTCTCTTCTAATATTTTCTAGGAGAGTTCTTTTAAATCTTCTCTTGTATACTTTGAATGTAGTACTCTTTCATAAGACAAGATTGTATGACAACCTTTCTTCGATGGACTGCCTCTATCGCATGGCAAGCTTCTTGCGTGACAATACCTATCTTCGACAAACTGCCTTTATCGTATGGTGGACTTCTTGCATGGCAATACCTCGTTTCGACGGACTGCCTTTATTGTATGTCGGATTTCTCTGTATGGCAATACCTTTCTTCAACGAACTGCCTTGAAGGGCGGGAAAACTTCCCTTTTATTTGCTATCCAGTAACATGTGCAAAAACTTGACTCATCATGAGTTGGCCTGGGAAAGGAAATCAACTTCCTTTCAAAATCGGATGTTTTTCCATTTTTTAGAAACTTCGTTGAAGTTGAAAAATATTAATTTCTCTTAATTTTTTAATCTTTTCTTCAACTTGTTATTTTGATTAAAATGACCCTCTCCTGAATTTCCATATTCTCACAAAATATTTTTAATGTTCAGAATAAACATTACTATTTTATTTCTTGTTATTATATATGAACAAAATCAGAATAAAACACAATGTGATTCAAGTGACATTGAGTTTTACATAATAGAAATTTAATGAATTTTACATTCAATAATTATGAAAATGGTGTAAGTCCATTTATGGACCAGAAAAATATTTTAGTTTAGTTAAATTCACATAAAAGTCTTTATGCAATCAACTTACATATTTCTAGTTACAGAAACATTGTCAAACTTAGTACACTTTATTTATATTTTTGAATCAACTAAAATGCAAATGTTTAAATATCTCAAAAGAAGAAAAAAATGGACTTACACCACTTTCAAAATAAACAGTCCATTTAATAAGGCATCAGTGAATCTTAATTTCTTATAGGAAAAAAAGTCTACAGCATGGTTTACTTGAAAGTTATTGGGCTATATACAAGCAAATTATTTAATTCATTTGTCTAATTTAATTAGCAATTTTTTTACCTTTGTAAAATAATACAATTTAAAAATTTTCCTATACACTAGACTCACTCACCCACATCCAAACTACAGTAGAGAGTAGTTTATCCGAATCAATTGGAGACTGGGGTTGTTCGGAAAACTTATTTTTCGGACGACCAATTATGTACAAAAAAATATATTAACCTATCCCATGTTGAAATTTTTCTCTGTTGTGTGTCAACATTGAATTGTGTTGCATTGAATTTTCGTTGATGTTAAGCATAACGAAAATTTTTATAATAATAATCATGACTTTTGTATTGTTAAAAATTATTTCTTTATATTGTACAAACAAAATATATTGAAAAATATAAAAACAAAAAAAAATTATACTTTAGAAGTTGATCTAGTATCAAAAACGTTCGATTCAGCGTGACACAGTCCTCGGAAAAACTCCACACAAAAGTTTCAGTACTGCCAGCTAAAACACACGCATCAACAAAAAAATATTGGAGTAGCCCAAGATATAGCCAAAGGTTGCAGCACCATAGCACGAGTGGAAATTTAAATTTGCTGACTGGAACACTTTCAGTTAACCGACGTTTCGGTTGACCGGCTTTCGGATAAATGATGTTCTACTGTAATAAAAGCAGGAGCGATCATACATTAGAAAAATCTAAATAACAGTGAAAATTTTTAAACAAACTAACATGTATGACTACTGTATGATGAAAAAAATGTTTATTTTGACTGACACAAACTTTTAAAATTATAATTAGTTTTCAAAGCATTGCCTTAAAGTTGTTTGTTTCGTTCTTCTCAATTCACTGACAAGCTGCTAAATCACACCAATGCTTCATCACTATTACATCAGCAATGGTTGATGCATTGTGCTCTTTATGAACTTCAAAGAAACCTTAATTTTGAAAAATTTTAATTAAGAATACACACTGCAATATGGCAAAGTAAGATTCAGAGTGTACAATATTTTCAAAAAGTTTTGGTTATCTTTGATCAGTTTGAATAAGGGAGAGTCCAGATGTGGAAGAGTCTACTATATTTATAACTTGTTTAATCTTTTTAGAACACACTTCAAATTGAAAAATACACTAATAGCTTTTGACTGTCACTAAAGAGTATCTACAACTTATTTTCCACATTATATATTTTGTAATGTTATCTACAGCCATGTCTTAAGTATATCAAGTATCTTCTTTCAGAAATGTTTTTACAAGAAGTTCAATTGAGTATTCTTTATATCTTACTAGCTTACCCGTCACGCATAGAAGAAACGAAATTCAAGCAAACTCGTTATAATAAAATTCAATTTACATTTTATCATTTTTATTGTAACTTATTATTATTTATTTATTTTCATCGGAAAAAACATTTCAAAGTGTCGTTTCAATTCTATTTATTTATTGGAGTGCTCGTGGATACACGATATTTTTTGTTTTTCCATCTGGTGCGTACACAAATAAATCAGAAGGTTTTCCGACGCGTGAGCTGGCCACATACAGTTGTCCATGTGAGAAGCATGGATTCTCCAAATCTAGCCCACACACTTGCAGCGATTGTCAGAAGTGTGATATTTCCTACTTTTATATATAATTTTTTAATCCTTTACAATTTTAATTATTTAATTGCTCCTTCTTCTCTTCCTTGGCATGTTGTGAAATTTCTGATAGTTGGATAATAAACCGTTTTATTGTAATTTGTCTTTTTAAATTATTTTGAGT